GAGTGAAAGAGATGATATATATATATATATATATATATATATATATATATATGCGCCACGTCTGTCACGTGCATAATTCACGGCAGGATCATAGCTTTTGGATTAAATACCGTGAACTGTGTTGGGAACAAAGTGTGAAGAAAGTTTTTTGGAGCAAGATTCATTATAACACTTCAAAACACTTGACGCTGATACATATCCACCTCTTCATGAGACTGTAATAAAGTACTGGACATACCTTCTGGAACGACAGTTCGTGAAGAATTTGCTATCAAAAGGGGAGAAACTGGTAACATGCCATTAAGGGCAATTCCGGTAGCCCTGTCCGCACGACTTAGCATGGGTATAACAGTCCAGCAAAAATGTCAAAATCCTACGTCTGCCAAACAACTTCGTGCATCCAGTTAGTTGGGGAATGAAAAACCAAAGTTGGCATCCCTACCTGTTGGGGTTATTCATGGTCGCCCAGTCTGTGACGCAGTTTCATCATTGCCATGTGAATTTCTTGTGTCAGTCACTACATTTATCTGGAGGAGTTTATGAACCAGAGGACGTAGGAAAGTCCTTGCCTGTAGGAACGAATCGATTCAAACTGTTACCTCCTTAAATGATGACTAACGGAAGGCTAGCCATTCATCTCGCGGCGAAACTCTTAACGACAGGATTCTTTATAGCTAGTGATCCGTATCTAGGCAGAAGTATAATCAGCTACGGGCTCTGGTTCCATAATCCTGTTGTTTCATCGATAAAGAAAGCACAGGTATGAAAGATTAAAAGACTAAACTTCGGACAAGTTATCATTACAAAACTGTCTTTAACTTGATTACAATTGTTCCCCACTGTGTATATGTGATGCAGTCATCCCTTTCGGAAGTTAAGACAACTGCAAAACATTATCACAACTGTACTCTAGCATCGATAATGGATGATCGTTGAAAAACCAACCTCAAACTCCCAACAGGGACAAAGGGTTCCCTCTCAACAGAAGCTGATATGCGAAACTTATGTACTGAATGGGTGAATGGCTACCCGCACTGCAAGCATGTTTGGTCCTGATAGCTCTAAGCATATGCCCCATGGCTATTGCAGAAATGACTAAAACATATTAGAAACACCCAACGCAATAATTTGGTCCCAGTATGCTTACCAGCATAAAAACACTTCAGAAGATCTCGTGATGTAGACGCCCAATAATGAGTACGACACTAAGAGTAGCATTGCCAATGGGAACCAAACAGTTAAAAAATCATGAGACTTTCCTCATTTTTAGGATAGTGAATCCCGATGTGTAAACGCTGTTGCTGTCGTCTACATATATTAAAGATATCTGTTGAGCGTGGGCGGGCTCACATGCGTGATGTCTGACAGTTTATTTCCCGACCTAAAGCTGCCACCTTGACGTGGTGGTCGGGCTTCAGTGCTGCAACGATCCTGCGGGCTACACTGGCTGGAACTTCGTTCCACAAGGTGCAACCATGCCAGGAAGGCCAAAGGGGAGCAGCCAGACCAAGAGCAGCGAGACCCCGTACTACGAGTAATCGTGCTACGAGGCGGTCTGGGGGTAAAGTCGTACTGTCCTCTGCGACAGGAGTGTAAAGGCA